CAAGGGATGGTTTCATGCAAAGATGGTCACAATAAAGGACAGAAACACTAGGGATTGCACTGAAGCAAAAGATATTAAGATGAGGTGGCAAGGATACACAGAATTGTACAAACATGGTCTTAAAGACCCAGATAACAATGACAGTGTGATCACTCACCAAGAGCCAGACCTCCTGTAGTGTGAAGTCAAGCAGGGCTTAGGAAGCATCTTTATGAACAAAGTTAGGGGAGGTGATGTTATTCCAGCTGAGGTATTTCAAACCCTAAAAGATGATGCTGTGAAAGTTCTGCACTCAATATGCCATCAAATTTGGAAAACTCAGCAGTGGGAACAATATTGGAAATGGTCAGCTTTCATTCCAACCTCAAAGGAGTGCAATGCCAAGGAATGTTCAAACTATGATATAATTTCACTCATTTCACAAGGGAAATGCTAGGAAGGGAATGCTCAAAATCCTTCATGCTATGCTTCAACAGAATGTGAACCAAACACTTCAATCTGTACAAGTTGGATTCAGAAAAGGCAGAGGACCAGATTACATTGCCCATGTCCATTGGAGAAAACAAGGGAATTCCAGAAAAACATCTACTGGTTTCACTATGCTAAATCCTTTGCCTGTGTGGATCAGAGAAAAGCGTGGAAAATTCTTAAAGAAAAGGGAATACCAGACCAAGTTACCTGCCTTATGATAGGCATGCATACAGGGTAAGAAGCAACAGTTAGAAGTGGAGAAAGAACAACAGACTGGTTCCAAATTGGGAAAGGAGTAAATCAAGGTTGTATATGGTCATCCTGCTTATTACCGCTATCTGTAGAGTACAGCATGCACATTTATGGGCTGGATGAAACACAAGCTGAAATCAAATTGCTGGGAGAAATATCAACACCTTCAGATATGCATATGGTACCACCCTTATGGCAGAAAGGCAAGTGGAACTAAAGAGAATCTTGAGAAGGGTGAAAGGGGAGAGTGAAAAAGCTGGCTTAAAGCTCAACATTCAAGAAACTAAGATCATGGCATCTGGTCCCAACACGTCATGGCAAACAGATGGGGAAAAAGTAGAAACAATGTAAGATATAATTTTCTTCTCCAAAATCTCTGTGGAGGGTGAATGCAGCCATGACGGTGGTGGTGGTGGTTTAGTCAGTAAGTCTTGTCCGACTTGTGACCCCATGGGCTGTAGCCTGCCAGGCTCCTCTGTCCACGGGATTGTCTAGGCATGAATACTGAAGTGGGTTGCCATTTCCTTCTCCAGGGGATCTTCCTGACCCAGGAATTGACCCCGGATCTCCTGCACTGCAGGCAGATTCTCTACCAACTGAGCTACGAGGGAAGCCCCAAATTAAAAGACGCCATGAAGTTAAAAGACGCTTATACCTTGCAAGGAAAGCTATGACAAACCTAGATCACGTAATAAAATGCAGAGATTTCAGATTGCCAAAAGAGGTGTGTCTAGTCAAAGCTATGTTTTTCCCAGTGGTCATGTGTGGATGTGAGCGCTGGACCGTAAAGAAGGCTGAGCGCTGAAGAATTGATGTTTTTGAATTGTGGTGCTGGAGAAGACTCTTGAGAGTGCCCTGGACAGAAAAGAGATCAAACCAGTCATTGCTGAAGGGAATCAACCCTGAATATTCATGGGAATATCTGATGCTGAAGTTGAAACTCAAAAATTTTGGCCACCTGATGGGAAGAGCCGACTCATAGGAAAAGACGCTCATGTTGGGAAAGCTTGAAAGGAAAAAGAAAAGGAGGCAGCAGAGGATGAGATGGTTGGATGGCATCACTGACTGGATGGACATGAATTTGAGCCAAGTCCAGGACATGGCGAAAGATAGGGAGCTTGGCGTGCTATGGATCATGGGGTCACAGTCAGAGATGACAGAGTAACTGAACAAAAACAACACAGAACTGCAAAACAAGAAAAGTAAAATAAATTGTAAAAAATGGACAATAGTCAACAACACCATATTGATATTAGTTGCTCAGTTTTAACAAATGAACTTGTATCAGTTGAAACAATCCAAGATGTTAATAATAGAAAATGCTAAGTGGAGGAAGAGACTGGCTCTATAGGAACTCTGTACACTATTTGCTTAAATTTCTTTAGTCCTAAATCTGTTCGTTAAAAATAATACAGAGGCTCACAAGACAAGATGCTCACCACTCATTATGAAATAAATGCAAAGCAAAGCTACAATGATGTATCACGTCATACTTGCCAGAAAGGCTATCATAAAAAAATCTAGAAATAATAAGTGATGAAGTGGCATGGAGAAAAGAGAACCCTCTTGAACTTTGAGGGGGAATGTAAATTGATACAGCCACTATGGAGAACAGTATGGAGATTCCTTTAACAACTAGAAATAAAACTACCCTATGATTCAGCAATCCCACTACTGGGCATACACATTGAGAAAGCCATACTTGAAAAGATTCGTGGACTGCACTGTTTCTTCCAGCACTGTTTACAATAGCTAGGATATGGAAGCAACCACCTCACCTTCCACTGACAGAAGAATATTTACAGAAGTTGTGCTCAATATATACAATGGAATATTACTCAACCATAAAAAGTAACAGATCTAAGTCAGTTGTAGTGAGGTGGATGCACCTAGAGACTGCTATAAAGAGTGAAGTAAGTCAGAAAGAGAACAATAAATATTGGGTATTAACGCATTTGTATGAAATCTACAAACTGGCACTTAGGAATCTATTTGCAGGGTAGGAATAGAGATACACATAGAGAAAAGACATGGACACAGCAAGGGAAGGAGAGAGAGGGACAAATTGAGAGCGGCAATGACATATATGCATGACCATGTGTACAAGAGATAGCTAGTGGCGAGATGCTGTATAAGAGAGGGAGCTCAGACTGCTGTTCTCTGACAACCTAGAGGACTGAGGTGCGGGTGGCATGAGGATACTCATGGTGGGGGGATATATGTATACTTATAGCTGCTTCATACTCTTGGACAAGAGAAACTAACACATTATAAAGCAATTACCCTCCAATTAAAAATTTTCATAAACGCACTACTGATTTAAAATGTAGAAAAAATCTAGACAAGAACACATAGCCAGTACAGACCTATATACAACAATGGCAAATGAATATGAGACAGGAACATGAAAGGCAAATGATAATGTAAGAATTTATCCTCGAATTAAAAATCTTAGGAAACATACACATAAAATATTCAAATAATTAAATAACTTCAGCTATATTTCTGGTATAAAATAGATCACATAGCAAAATCAAGCATCTGGCCTGGAAGAATCAACAATTACTAAGATCACGTAATAGAAAATACACCATAAACAAAAGAAACCATACAAAAAATGTACCTACAATGAAACCTCAGAACAATGTATACATTCCACATGGAGACAACAAGAATTTCCTGACAGTCTTATGAGAAAGAAGTCTGAAACAGAATAGTATGTTATGTGTATTCATGAGGAGCAGATATTGTAAGACTGTTGATGTTCCTTAGCTCCTTTACAGATCTACTATCGTCAGATCAGCTGAGACCACAATCAAACATGGGCTGCTGATTCCTGTACCCAGAATAAACCATGGAAACTTACACAAGTGATAAAGACAATTAGTAACAGAAGCAAAAACACAGAACTAAATAATCCCTGAGGGAAAATAAGTCTCCAGTGAACCTGACCCTGTGAGTGCCAAAGTGAGGGAGTACTTGGAGACTGAGAAGGGGTGTGCAGCCTACAAGGGAAGCAGACAACAGGATCAGCTGCAAAAGGCTTTAAAGTTCAGCCCTTGATTCTTTCACTGTGCCCTGGGGCCATGAATCTCTACAGCCTCACTGAAGGAATCGGAGGTAGCATCTCAGAGCTCCCATGCCAAGACCATGGGGCACAAAAGTTTGGGTTGGATGTGGCAGTATGGCCCAGAGGTCATGAAATAGCCAGCACAAGCTTTCTTGGTGGATGACAACTAGCCCTTTTAAGTGATCACCTTAATAGTCTACCACATGAAGACTAAAAGAGAAAACTTAGTACCACAGAAATTGTACCAAGGGACAGAAATTCACCTCAGAACTTTCGAGCAATGCCCCTGCAGTCGACAAAGAGCCCACAGTGAGATCTGTCGGGCTTAGGAGCCCCTTCACTTACTCTGCTGGGATTGTGTGGGGCATGGTTAGGGACAGGGTTGGATTCATACAAGAAAGGGAAGGATTTCCAGGCCTTGCCAGCAGTCAGTATGAACATCCTGAGTGAGATGTGAGGGGTTCCAAACCACAGAAGGCAGTCTCCCAACCTTGCCTCCTGCTCATCTTACCTGCAGCAGCCATTTCCTGGAAGCCTCAGGCAGAAGTGTCCAGAGGGGATGTGCCTTCACTTCTCACCAGGAGTCTCGGGGCTTGACATCTTCAGTGTGAGGCCTTGTCCTCAGGTCAGCAGATGGGACATAGCCCACCACTTACAGGGGCCAAGGGAAGACAATGAGAGTGGGTGGAGCATCACTCAGCACAGAAGACGCGGCCCGAAAGTGCCCTTCCTGTCATTCTCAGGAGCTCCTGGAAGCCTGTTCGGCCAGGCCACAAACAATTCCTGCCAGGATGCTGATGGAAGCTAGAGCCTGAGATGGAGACTTGTAAACTTAGCTCAGTAGAGGGAAAGGATCCCCTAAGATTGAAGGAACGGGGCACATGCCCATCTTGAGGGAAGCTCCCCCGGAACCCCGCCCACCCTGGCCCCGCCTCTCCTGTCCGCCTGGAACACAGAGGCACGTGACCGGAAGTGACGACCACGCGCACACACGCTGGGGCTGTGAAGCCATCTTTGACAGCTGCTGCCATCTTTGACAACTGCCACGTAGGGGCCCAGACGGAAGACTCCCAGGTCTCATCAGGTGTCCAAGTGTGAGGTGACGTGAGTTACAAATGTGGGGACACACGTCCGGCATGGTCAAGCCTTTCCCTCTGAAAAGAGGGAGCCAGACAACCCTCGGCCACCCTGCCCCTCCTCTCACCAGGAAGATTCGGGCCTGCATCTTAAGCCCCAAATTCATCTGCTTCACCCAGGTGGTCTCTGAGAGTACGGATTCAGTCCGGGGCTTGTGGACTCCAATAGTGCACAGTAGAGGGAAAGCCCTGAGCCCTGTAGCTAAAGAAGGGACCCTCGGGGGGGACTGTAGGGTCTCCACACCCCAGAACGGCGGCCACGCAAAACCACACCCCCTGCGACTTGGCCTCAGAGCATCCGGGTAGGATCCGGGCAGCTCTAACGTTTGTGGGGCACCCTCATTGCGATCTCGGATGCGGGACACTGAGGGAGGAGGGGACCTCGGTCGGAGGGGGTGGTAGCTGGTCAGAACAGGGAGGATGTCAGGGCTCAGCAGCAGCCAGGGTGAGGACCATCCTCCCCGACACACGGGCGAATCAGCACCCTCTCCTGTGGTCAGCGCTTCCTCCCGGCCAAACACGGGGAAGGGAGGCTGCGGTCTGAATGGGGAGGTTAGAGCTTGCTTGCAGAAGGGCGGGTCCTGGGACCCTTCGGTGGGAATCTGAGTGCTCCCTCCTCTCCTTCTCCAGAGTCACAGTGAAGGTGGCAGCATCACCTTCAGAACAGAAGAGGGAACGGGGCGGGTGCTAGAGGGTCGTTCCCCATTTTTCATCCTAACTCTGAATGTGAACTGAAAGGACATGCCTTCCCTGCGAGCCCCCACAGGCCCCCCTCTAACGCCCAGGCAGGGCTGTCTGGCTTCGCCCCAGGGCTCACTCTCACTTCTTCCTCAGGGGTCTCAGGGAACAGGCTGACCAGGAGACTTGTGGGCCCTAGAGCATGGACTCTAGCCTCCCTAAGAAGCGGACTTGGTTTAAGCCGGGGATGACTCTCCCTGGTGAAGGTGCTCACAGCATTTCTCTGTCCTTCCTTAAGGTGCCCTCTTTGCCTGCCTTCCTATCTGCACGCTGCGTGCGGTCCCTGACCTCTGTCATCATGCCTCGGAAGCACAAAACCAAGCATCATGCCTGCAGGAAACGCCACCAGGTCCAGGGGAAAGCTCAGGAGCCCCAGGCCAGAGCTGCTGCAGCCCCAGGAGAGGAGCGCCCCTCCTCCCCCTCTTCTGTCCCTCAGGGTTCTCCCCCGAGCTCCCCTGCTGCTGGCGATCCCCAGGAGCTTCAGGGAGCCATGGCCCCTAGCTCTCCTGATGCAGGGCCTTCCTGCGCAGGATCTGATGAAGGTGCCCAGGGCCCAGAGGAGGAAAGTGCAGATGCCGCCCAGTCAGCCCTGGTCGTTCGGAGCTTTCGCAGAGATCCTCTGAACAGGAAGGCCAGCATGCTGGTGGAGTTCCTGCTGGAGAAGTACAACAAGAAGGAGCCCATCGCGCAGAACGCCCTGATGAAGATCATCAGCAGCAAGTACAAGGGGCACTTCCCTGAGATCCTGAGGAGAGCCTCTGAGCGCCTGGAGCTGGTGTTTGGCCTGGAGCTGAAGGAAGTCGACTGCAGCAGGAACATCTACACCCTCACCAACAAGTTCACTCTCGGGGTTGAGGAAGGGTCACGTGGTGAGCGGGGGATGCCCAAGTCTGGTCTCCTCATGGCGCTCCTGGGCATCATCTTTATGAAGGGTAACCGTGCCACCGAGGAGGAGGTCTGGGATTTCCTCAGTCTGTTGGGGATCTATGCTGGGAGGAATCACTCCATCTTTGGGGAGCCCAGAAAGCTCATCACCAAAGATCTGGTGGAGGAGGGGTACCTAAACTACCGCCGGGTGCCCAAAAGGGATCCTCCGAGCTACGTGTTCCTGTGGGGCCCGAGAGCTCATGCTGAGACCAGTAAGATGAAGGTGTTGGAAGTTATGGCCAAGATTCAGGATACGGTCCCGAGTTCCTTCCCAGACCTCTTTCACGAGGCTCTGAGAGATCAGGTGGAGAGAGCAGGGCTGAGAGGCGTTGCCATTCCTCCAGCTATGGCTGAGGCCAGTGCCCCTTCCAGGGCCAAGTCCTGCAGCTCCTCCCACATCTAGCGAGGGGGGCAGGGCACTTTGTTCCCTTTGTGTTGGAAGAGAACAGTCCACCTCTTCGATAGTGCAGGGTAGTATGGGTGGAGGGAACAAAACCCATATATTGTTCACAGTTCTAAGTAGTATGGGAGTTTAGGTGCAGTTTAAACAAAATGTGTATGTTTTCCTTTTATCCATACGAATAATATCTAGGCAAAAATAGATTAGGTAGGTAGGTAGAAGTGTTTTATATTTTTAAATGTTACTACTCTTCACAAGTTTTACTGTGCTACAGAATCTAGGTTTATTAATGTCATGGATGTCATGTTTACTGCTGTTAGGTTTATGATTACGAGTTCATTATTTGTAAACAACTTGAAAAGACTTCAGTATTTTCCTGGTCCAGAACGAGGCAACATAACGTTGCAATAGAATTTTACTTGAAAATGTGTAAGAATCCTAGAGATAAATACTTGGGATCACAAAGCTTTTAGAGTAAACGCTGGTTCATTCTTTGTTTGTCTTCTCTGTCCTCTTTCCTAGTAAAAGTTAATACCTTGGACTTAGATTTGCTTAGCTTACTCAAACTGTATGACACTTAAATGATAATAAAATAGAGTCTTTGCTCATCATTTCGTTTTTCTCCCAAATTAATTGACCATCTTCTGTTTACAAGGCTTTCTTATAGTGCTGGGTTGGTAAGAAAATGACCAAGGCACTGCCCATGGAATTTGGAGTCTAGCAGCAGGTACCATATAAGGAAGGTGGTGAGATAAGTCTAAGGAATAAACAAACCATAAATTAAAAGGGGGGAGGTGTGGAAGAGGAGGCTCCAGATGAGAGCAGGCAAGTCTAAGTTACCTGATTCAGGCGGCATTGGGTCTTGGGAAACTTCTAGTTCCTCGGTGGGAGATAATTTTCAGTCCAGATGTATGGTGGGATAGATGAAGCTGTGGCAGTGATGCCAGACACTCATATGATGGTTCTGAGAGGTGAGGCTGTAAACCTGGAATATATCTAAACCATATATTCACCATTATTTGGGGATATCGGAAAACCATAGGGAATCTCAACATAGGGGATGGAAGGGGCCCTGTGCACTTGAGACAGGGAAAGTGAACACTCAAACTGCATGTTTTAATCAAAAGCTGTTCAGAGAGTTTCTGAGAAATAAGGCTGATACCCAATGGAGTGAGATGCCAAGATGTCACTGGACTGTCTCTCTTTTTCCGGGATGGGAGCATCAGAGCTTGCTCTGTTCAACGGGCAGTTTAATTAGGTTATGTTGAGAGTAATTTGGCAAACTTTAAGGCAGTGCTAAATTGTTAGTGGCAAAGGTCATTAAATTACTGGTGGTTTGGGTAAAATGGACCTGAGGGAGACATTGCGGGTCCTTCAGACAAATGAACTTTTATTTGCTTCCATGTGGAGAAGATAAGTTCACATCCATATTAAAACAGAAGCTCCAATAGGGAAAAACGGCTTAGTTTTACTTGCTTGGGAGCATTAGTGCCAATGTGTATTTGATTATTGTTTGAGGTTGCATATTCTCTAATATAGACTGGAAATAAAATTATGTGATGGACGTTTCTATCATTTGGGGCAAAAATCATCTTTGTAATTACTGCCATTCATTGAAAGTACCAAAGTTTGTCTCATACTGTGCCAGGTGATTTACATACATCACACGTGTCTGTGGTCCTACACGACAGACTTTTTCAAGCACAATTTACAGATAAAGAAGCTGGAATAAAGAAGCTCAAATTCAAAGCTCATAAATGACAGGAGCTGGACTGAACCCCGGCACCGGAATCCTCTAGAGCCCATACCGTGCCACTCCTCCAGGATGAGGCCAACCTTGGGTCACTTCCTCTTTCTGAACACTAGTCCAAAAGGTATTTCACACGTTAAATAGCAGAATTTCCCAAGAAGTCTTTCAGAGAAGAGACAGGAGTCAATGTAAAGATAGATGAATGAAGGCTGAGGAGACAAAAACACATCATAACTGAAGGCACAGAGAGACTGGCCTGTGTCTGCTCTCAGAAGGCCAAGACAGGGCTGCCAGGCTGAGCATTCCCTCACTTCTTTTCAGGGCTTGCAAGGACATGATCTTTGGTCTACATGGGTCACCTTAAGGTGAAAGAAAGAGGAAATCCAAAGTCCCCCAGGAGTCAAGGTGAGGAACCTGAGTGAGGGCATACCCCAACGCTGAACAGAGAGGGCCCCAAGAAGCCTGAATCCTGATGTCATCCCTGAAAGTGCACAGGTAGTAGTAGCCTCGTGTGGCATTCCCAGACTTTCCCTCTCTGGCACCACAGGAGTGAGCACATAAGTCTGAGGAGAGCTCCCTTACTTAAACAAAGAAAGGAGCCCCAAACCCTGCCAGGAGTCAAGCTTTGGACTTGTGAAACTCCCTGACCTCAGAACTCTGAGGAAACTCCACAGAACCCTGACCTGCCCTTCCTGGCATCCCTGGGATACCTGCTGATTGTTGACTTGACATGTCCATTTCCTTCTGTGATGTCACAAAGGGATTTGGGACATGGTCCAAGAGGTATAGCCTAGGGCCAGCAGTGGGATTATTTCCAGGGTTTCCAGAAACCAACTGAATACCCTGAAGTCAAAGGGACACACACACCTCAAAACCATATGATTCATCTCATCGGCTGCACCTCAGAAGACCAAGGACAGGTATGGAGGGATGAGGAGAATCTAACTTCCTCCTAGGGGTCTCGTGGAGATGCTTGCCCTACTATAAGAAAGCACAGTACTATGAGGGGTGGGCCTAAGGGGAATGGAGGGTAGAATTTCAGGCCACAAAAGAGGTCAAAGCAAGGACTGAGGAATCATCTACCAATAAAAAGAAGTGATAAAGAATCCATCCCTGTTCCTTATAGCCCTTGAAGAACCAGAGCAGAGCTATCAAGCTGAAGTTCCACCAACATTTATTTACATCAGGTGTGTAGGAGGTGAAACCCTTAGTATGAAGGTGCAGATACCATTCCAAGAAAGGGGTGGGGACACCAGGCCCTATGGAGAACCACATGAAGTACTCTTAATGAGTGCTGAGGACTCCAGAGGCCACGACACAAAACTTCCCACTGAGCACTCACTTTTGGGTGATAACTACTGAATGGGGTGATAAGCTGAGGGACCCCTTCACTTCTAGAAATCCCACGGAGATTTGTGATGCCAACTATAGAACAGAAGAGGGATTGGGTCTGATGACTGGCCACCAGTTGGGTGGTGGTCTTGAATGTGAAATAACAGATGCCTCTGTGTGGAAGAATACCAGCCCCTTCTGTCAGCCCAGCGTACCTGAGGCAGGGGTAGCAGGCTGCAGCCTAAAGATCACTATAATTTCCTTCAAGATGTTTCTCAAAGGACAGGTTGATTAGGAGAATAGGAACCCAGGGGGTTTTCAGAACAGTGCCCTCAAGAAAACTACATATGTAGCCTTCCTTATAACCAAGGTGGTATTTCCCTGGTGTGGCTCCACACTCAACCTTCGTCATCTTGCGGGCGCTTGTCACCTGCCCTCCTACTCACACTTATAATCACTGTCCCCCAGTACAGTCATCATGCCTCGGGGCAGAATCATAAACTCTGCATCCATGAGAAATCCCACCAGGTCCAAGATGAGCCCCAGAGTCACAAGGGAGTTGAGCCTGCTGCAGTAATGGAAGAGCTTCCCTCTACCTCTTCTCTTTTAGAAGATAATTCACAGAGTTCATCAGCTACTGGGTCAAATAGCACTTCCCAGGGGTCTTTGGAGCCCCATCTACTACCAGCACTTTTTCAAGTACTTCTGATGTATCTGATGAGGAAGATACCAGTCAAGATGAGAAAGATTCACGTTCCTCCCATGTCTCATTTTCTACCAAGAACACCTACCGTGATTCTCTGAACAGCATGACAAGTTTGTTGGAGCAGTTCCTCCTATATAAGTATAAAATGAAGCAGCCCATTATTAAGGAAGAAATGCTGAAGATCATCCACCCAAGATACCATGACCGATTTGCAGAGATTCTCAAGAGAGCCTCTGAACACATCCAGACTGTCTTTGCAGCTGACTTGAAGGAAGGTGACTCAACCATCCACTCCTATGACCTTGTAAGCAACCTGAACCTGCTCAACAGTGGCAGGGTGTGGGATGGTAGGGGCTTACCTCAGACCAGTCTCTTGATGACAGTTCTGGGTGTGATCTTCCTGAAGGGCAACTGTGCCGCTGAGGAAAACATCTGGAGCTTCCTGAATATGATGCGAGTATATGCTGGGAGAAAACACTTCATCTATGGAGAGGCCAGGAAGATCATCACCAAAGACTTGGGGATGATCAAGTACCTGGAGTACCACCAGGTTGCCAGGAGTGACCATCCACCTTATGAGTTCCTGTGGGGCCCAAGAGCCCATGCTGAAACCAGCAAAATGAAAGTCTTGGAATTTTTGGCAAAAGTCAATGATACGGTTCCCAGTGCCTTCTCATCACAATATGAAGAAGCTTTGCGAGATGAGGAGGAGAGAGCTCGAGCCACAGCCAGGCCTGGTACAACTGTCACTTCCAGGAACATTCCATGGCCACGTCCAGCAGCTTCTCCCACCCCTACTGAAGACCAAGACTTTTTAAAAATCATCCAGATAAGAACATTTGACATCAAAATAGGGACTTTTGTTGAAACGGGAAGCAATCCCATGATAAAATTACTGGGAGAATGGAATGAAAAAATAAAATGAAAAAAATTTCAAAACATGATCAACCTTGATTTTTCTCCATCGTTTTTGTCTTCTGTGTTGTAAAATGAAATAATTTATACCTTGATATGCTTATTAAAAAATGCAGGAGGTATAAAAACCTTAACAAGTTAGACCTCTTACTGTCTTCATTTATTTTTTGAGCATCTGCTCTTTGAAAGGCTCTATGCTAGTTCTGGTGAGGCTAAGATCAAGACCTAGCCTATGCCCATACAACTTTAGAAACAGGAGCTGCAGTCACATAAGGAAGATGTTGAGATAGCCTTTATGAATGACAGGAAAGTAAAAAGACTACCCAGGAAGAAATCTCTACCTGGGGTAACGTCCTGATTTGTTAGGCTTTCCACAACAAAATCCCACAGAATGGGTGGCTGAAACAACTGAAATTCTCAGAGTTCTAGAGGCTGCAAGTCCAAGATGAGGGCTGGTTTACCCTGAGGCCATGTGGCCACCCTCTTCATTTGGCATTCCTTTTGAGTTCATATATCCCTGGTGCCTCTTTTTGTGTCCCAGTCTCTTCTTATGTCACGTTGGGTTATGGCCCACCCTAATGACTTCATTTTAACTCAACCATCTCTTTAAAGACCTTATCTCTAACTATAGTTGCATTCTGAAGTACTCTGAGTTATGCCTTCAATATGCATTTTTGGAGCGGACACAATTTGACGCCTAACAGACAGAAATCTAAGGGGTCTCTGCTCTAATCTCAGTGCATGAGATTCCAGTGCACAGACTGGCATTCTACACACATCATCTCCAGGGAGTTTCTGAGATATAAGGGTGAACGCCCTTCAGGTGTGCAGGGAAGGAGGAAATTCTTCCCTTTACCCCTTTTGAATTCTTGTGGTTAGACTACTAATAAAGTTGACACAAGACAGGGTAACAGGAGAAAAAGAGACAAATGGCAATTCATGTGCGCAGAAGTGTCATGGAAATGGGACCTAAGAAGTGGGCAAAGTCATATCCATCGAGTAGGTGATGCTGTCCAACCATTTCATGCTCTGTCATCACCTTCTCTTCCTGCCTTCAATCTTTCCCAGCATCACGATCTTTTCCAATGAGACAGTTCTTCACATCAGGTTACCAAAGTATTGGAGTTTCAGCTTTAGCATCATTCCTTCCAATGAATGTTCAGGACTGATAACCTTTAGAATTGACTGGTTAGTTCTGCTTGCAGTCCAAGGGAGGGTCAGGCATCTTCCCCAGGAGGAACAAGGTGGCAAGAGGAGTTGGTGGACATCAAATACATCTCTCTCCACAGATAGATCAGGAATACACCTTCAAACACAGAAGTGCATGTAGAATACCAACTGAGAGTGCACAGGAGTATATGACCAGCAGAAAAGAATATATAGACCCACGCAAAACTCAAGATCAAGCCCTGAGCCTTTATAGTGGGTCCACTGGCCCCAAGATCCTAGACTACCAGAGAATTAAACATGGGGATATCAAATAGTGAGAACTGACACAAAGGAAACTACTGTAATACAAGACCCGGCATCACCAAACCAGATAGCACCCTCTGCACGATGCCTCATCCAAACAGCAAAGAAAACAAAAATACAAACCCAATCATCAGCAGACAGGATGAGCACCTTACTCAGCCATGCCAATCAGAGGAAAAAACAAACAAACAAGCAAAAACTCAGCACAAATCTCACCCTATAAGAAGCTCACACAAACCACTGGACCAACCTTAGAGGGCAGAAACAAAAAGGAAGAAAGAATTCAACCTTGAAGCCTGGGAAGAGGAGGCCCCAAACACGGTAATTAAAATAATAATAATAATGAAAAAGGCAGAGAAGTACTACAAAAATGAAGGAACAAACCAGAAACATAGAAGTCCAAATAAATGAAGAGGAAATAGGCAAACTACCTGACAAAGAATTCACTGCTAAAGGGAATGCAGAGATACAGATACTTTGGAAACTGTCTGGCAATTTCTTTTAAGTTAAATATAATCATATCATATGATCTAGCAAATGAACGTTAAGGTATTTCCTCAAAAGAGCCAAAAACTTAAGCCCATCCAAAGACATTCACACAAATTTTAACAGCAGAGTAAGTCATAGATTCCAAGAACCGAAATCACCAAAGATGACCTTCAGTACATGAGTGTGTAAACAAACTATGGTAATCTACATGGAATGCTATTCAGTCCTGGAAGAAAACATTTCAAAACATAAAAAGATATAGAGAAAATCAAATGTATATGGATTTGCAGAAGGAGCCAGTATCAAAAGCCTACATACTGTAGGATTCCATGAATGTTACATTCTGGAAGATGCAAATCTTTAGAAAGAGTAAAACATTCAGTAGTTGACTGGGGTTCCAAGTGAGGTTGTGAGGGATGAACAGATGGAGCATGGGAGATATTTGGGGCTTTCAAACTTCTCTGTAGGACACAGTGTTGGCTGAGTTGATAGGATCATGCATTTGTCAAACACTAAAAAAGAAGAGAGTTCCAGAAAAACATCTATTTCTGCTTTATTGCATACGCCAAAGCCTTCGACTGTGTGGATCACAATAAACTGTGGAAAATTCTGAACGAAATGGGAATACCAGCCCACCTGACCTGCCTCTTGAGAAACCTGTATGCAGGTCAGGAAGCAACTGTTAGAACTGAACATGGAACAACAGACTGGTTCCAAATAGGAAAAGGAGTATGTCAAGGCTGTATATTGTCACCTTGCTTATTTAATTTATATGCAGAGTACATCATGAGAAATGCTGGGCTGGATGAAGCACATGCTGGAATCAAGATTGCCAGGAGAAATATCAATAACCTTAGATATGCAGATGACACCACCCTTATGGCAGAAAGTGAAGAGGAACTAAAAAGCTTCTTGATGAAAGTGAAAGAGGAGAGTGGAAAAGTTGGCTTAAAGCTTAACATTCAGAAAACTAACATCATGGCATCTGGTCATGATCTTAGGATCTGGGATCTGGGATCTGGTCACTTCCCGTCACCTCATGGGAAATAGATGGGGAGACAGTGGAAACAGTGTCAGACTTTATTGTTGTGGGCTCCAAAATCACTGCAGATGGTGACTGCAGCCATGAAATTAAAAGACGCTTACTCCTTGGAAGGAAAGTTATGACCAACCTAGACAGCATATTAAAAAGCAGAGACATTACTTTGCCAACAAAGGTCCGTCTGGTCAAGGCTATGGTTTTTCCAGTGGTCATGTATGGATGTGAGAGTTGCACTGTGAAGAAAGCTGAGCGCTGAAAAATTGATGGTTTTGAACTATGGTGTTGGAGAAGACTCTTGAGAGTCCCTTGGACTGCAAGGAGATCCAACCAGTCCATCCTGAAGGAGATAAGTCCTGGGTGTCCACTAAAAGGACTGATGATGAAGCTGAAACTCCAATACTTTGGGCACCTCGTGCGAAGAGTTGACTCTTTGGAAAAGACCCTGATTCTGGGAAGGATTGGGGGCAGGAGGACAAGGGGATGACAGAGGATGAGATGGCTGGATGGCATCACCGACTTGATGGGCGTGAGTTTGAATAAACTCCGGGAGTTTGTGATGGACAGGGAGGCCTGGTGTGCTGCGATTCATGGGGTCGCAAACAGTCGGACAAGACTGAGCAACTGAACTGAACTGAAAGAACTGTAAAACACAAAAAGGAAAACTCACTGTAAACAATGGACAATAGTTAATAATAACATATTGACATTTGTTGATCAGTTGTAAAAAATGAACTGGTATCCATTGAACCAATACAAGATGTTCATAATAGAAGATACCAAGTGGAGGAAGAGAGTGGCTGTATGGGAACTCTCTATACTATCTGCTGAATTTTCTCTAATCCTGAATCTGTTCTTTTAAAAGAGAAATACAGAGGGGCAACAAACACATAAACACATGAAAAGAGGAGCTACATCGCTCATCATGGGAAAAATTACAATGAGGTGTCACCTCATACAGGTCAGAATGGCCATCATCAAAAATTGTACAAGCAGTAAATGCTGGGGAGCGTTTAGAGAAAAGGTGGGAATGGACATTGATATAGCCACTATGGAGAACACTAGGGAGATTCCTTTAAAAACTAGGATTAAAACTACCACATGACCCAGCAATAGAAATACTGGGCACATACACTGAGAAAAGAATAACTGAAAAGACAGCTGTATCCAATGTTCATTGCAGCACTACTTACAATAGACAGGACATGGAAGCAAAGCAGACTTCAACTGACAGATGACTGGATAAAGAAGTTGTGGTAGCCACATACAATGAAATATTAGCCATAAAAAGGAACGCATTTAAGTCACTTGTAGTGAGGTGGATGCACCTAGAGCCTGTTATACAGAGCGAAGTAAGTTAGAAACACAAAAAATAATATACATTAACACATATACATGGAAAGTAGAAAATGGTTCTTAAGAACCTATTTGAAAGGCAAGAATAGTGACACAGATGTAGAGAATGGACATGTGGACACAACAAGGGAAGGAGTGGGTAGGTCGATTGAGAGATTGGCACTGACAAATATAGAGTACCATGTGTACAAAAGATAGCTGGCGGGAAATTGCTATATAATACAGGGAGCTCAGCCTGGTGCTGTGTGACAGCCCAGAGGGGTGAGATGAGGGGGTGGGAGGAAGTCTCATCAGCCAGGAGGAATATGTATACTTCGAGCTGATTCATCCTGGTGTATAGCAGAAACAACACAACATTATAAAGCAACTATCTGTCGATTAAAACAGTTTTTTTAAAAGTTGACTAATGTAAAAACTAGAAAAAAATATGGATAAGAACACATAGCCAGTACAGAGTTACAGGCACCAATGCAAACTGAATAAAAGTCAGCAATAATGAAAAGCAAAATATCACGGTAAGAATTTGATC